CACTGGCAGAAGAAAAGAACTTTTCAGACTTTGGGGTACAGATAGATTGGCTTCTGTTTTCAGTGAAGCAAAACCAGATTTTAACATCTACATTATTTTTCTTGCATTTGCACTTCTGTAATTATACACTACTTGTAGAGCTGCTGCTTTTTATATTTGAGGCATATAACTTTTTCAGATTTCTTCATTAGCAACTGAGTACTGAATGCTTTCATGCATAGCAGACTCCAACGAAGTCAAATCAAGGGACCAACACATTGATCTTCTGTTCTGAGCCTAATTTCAGTCCCAGTGCATCCCACACGTAAACTCAGCTGTATATCAGAGATTTTCAACTAAACTATGGAATGGCTGTTGCATTTCTAGCTGCAGTCTGAAATGCAACTCATATCCTAGTTGTATTCAGGTCTACCACATTTTGAATGGTTGATAACACGATTTGGCAGATCTGAGGGAGGGAATTTCTGATTTTCTTGGCAAAAAAACTACTTTAAAAAATGCAGTCATAGTTGTGCCTTTAGTGTGAGGGGTGAATCTTTTTTTGGTTGACTAGGAAAAAAATTTCTGACAACTGTCAGTATCCCTTTTTTTTGTTTATGTGGTGACAATTCTTACCTATCAGTCACCAAGCCTTAGTTTTGGAAGGGCTAATGTGGTCCAGCCTTCTGCTCAGTGTAGGAAGCCCAAAACCATCCCCAACAGATGGCTGGACAGTATCTGTGTGAAGGCCTCCAGCAAAGGAGAGCTCCCCCTCAATGTCTATTGACCCTATCCATCCCTTTATATCCTGACCTTTCCTCCAAGGAGTTCAGTGTAGCTTCCATGGCCACATAAATCTCCCACATCTCTCAACACACACTTTTGTTCATATCCCCTTGGGGGGCGGGGGGCGACAAAAAAGGGGAGGCTACTTTTTCAGGGACTCCAAACAATGTACAAAATATAGCTCCTCAAGTTGGTTCATCTCTCATTTCCGTGACCCAGTTCTGTTGAAGTCATTACAGCCCAGGGTCTGTGGAACTAACTCCCACTTCTCTGACTTTTTTAACATTGTGGTTCAAACTAAAAGCTGGAGGAGATGATAGAATGGACTGCACCACTTCAGACAGTAGGGGGCAATGATCATTGGGAGGGGGGAATTACATTTTGAAATGCTTCCTAATGTTTCAGACTTCCTGTAAACAGAATGCCAACACAGCAAACAAAGATAAATGGGGGAGGGGGACACAATCTCCCTGTGCTATAGGGTTGCCAGCCTCAAGGTGGGGCCTGGGGATCTCCCGTTTTTACCACTGATCCCCAGCCAACAGAGATCAGCTCCCCTGGAGAAAATGGCTGCTTTGAAGGGTGGACTCTATGGCATTGTACTATGCTGAGGCCCCTCCCCTCCCCAAACCCCGCCCTCTCCTGGATCCACCCCCAAAGTCTCCAGGTATTTTCCAACCCAGACTTGGCAACCCTACTGTGCTATGCTAGTTTTTGATTTTTGTAGAGGCTTTTTTAAAAAATGTGAAGAGATTGTCAAAGCTGGAGTTCATCAGCTGAAGGCTGTAGCGGGTGCAGCCCATTCCTCCACCTCGTTCCCCTGTAGGCCGGGATTGGAGCCTAAGAAACATCTTCGAGAGGGATAATGTTTGTGAGTGGGAAAAGCAAACTGATCTTCCATGCCAAGTTTTTTAAATTCTTTCTGTGGTGCTATATACCCTTTGTAAGAATCTGAAGTAAATTCTGAAATCATCTGTGCTTTAGACAAAAGGTAAGACCAGTGCTTGCCTTTGATTTTTCACAGTGAATGTAAAAGTCAGACTGGATGGTTCTCTAGTTTCAAAAGAGCATCTTTAGTAGCAAAGAATTTACATGATGTCCATAAAGGCTGAATTGAAATTGTCTCTTCAAGGGCAGTTTTGTGAAACATCTCTCTTAAAAGGGAGTTTTTAGAAGGGACTGTGTAGTCAATCTGTTCTTTGTACCTCTTTGGGGGAGGGGGGAATAAGCAGGGAATAAAATTCTGGCACTTCAGTTGGTAGCATTTGACTTTTTAAAAAATCCATCGTTTCCTTCATGTTAAATGCCTTGCAGAAAATTCTGAAGTACATTGCTTCTGGTTTGAGCCATATGTGGTTTTATGTATGTTTTTGAAATCATTTTGTTAAAAGGATGAATTTATTTTTGAAAAAAGCATGATGGCCTTTTAATTCATTATCTGTGTGTTACTTTTGTGTTAGCCATGTAGAGGAAAAGGAACTGTGAATCCTGTTTTTGAAATGGCATTTTTGAACCGTTTTAAGAATGTACATTTTGAATAACCTGCGTATGATATATACCTCACACAAACCTTACCACCGTGTTGTAAGCTAAGTTTAAAAGCAAAGTAGGGCATTGTGGTCATTTTGGGTCATATAGAAAATCTCTCATTGCGTTACTCGTTGGTTCCCTGTGCCAACAGTTCAGTGAACACTATGCAAGACCAGCAGGTGTGTGGGGTGGATATGCACCCAAATGCCTGCAATCAAGATCAGCTATCATTACTCTTGTACATAGCAGGAGTCACCATTGTGCATTATGCTTTAGACAAAGTGCCCATTATTGCCTTTCAGGGCCCAACTGCAAAAACAGCTCAGGATGATCCAGAAGTGCAGCCAATGTGTTGCTGGGGTTGGCCGTCACGATGCATGGAAGCTCTTCAAGCCTGCCCCTAAGACGAAGCAGGAGGCATTGTGGGAGGAGATCTGCACAGGCCCA